AGAGACTTTAAGCTTTAAAATGCTTTTTGATCATTCCGATACGATCATTTTTGACGAAGTTACACTCTCTTGAAATTTGCCTATTTTTAGTGATCAGAATGGGTGATGCTTTAATTTTGCTGTCGAGTGTAGTTGCATTTACTACATAAAAATATTTATTTTATTTGTCTCATACATATCTTGATATTTAACTATTTATTTTATATTAATATTTGAAATTATTATAATTTATAGTAAAATTTTTTTCATATTTGATAAGACTATACATATAAAGTTATCATTACTAACATATATTATAGTAATAATTATAAAAATAGTGCTCCTAACTGTAATTTTTTGCCATGCAATTATAGTCACAAATACAAAATATTTTTCTCTTAGTGCAGAAAGTATCTGAAAAAAATTTAGCTAGATGCGGTCTGCATCTACAAACAATTATGTCGCGCCATTTAAATAATTATATTGAAGACTCATGCTGGTTGCTAGAATGTCAAAACTTTTTGCAGCATTATCATCATGCTTGAACGTTTTATATCCTAATTATTTTGATGGAATTTTGATCTAACATTATTTTCGGATCTGTACCTGATTTAATTTTTATTTAACTGTTCCTTCCAATTTTAAGCATATTTTTAATTTTTAAAGAGATTTATGTATACACATAAATTTCTTTAAAAATTAAAAATATGCTTACAATTGGAAGGAACAGTCTAGTTATATACGTGAAGTATATACGTGTAATTAATCATATATACATTAATTATATACTGCTAAAAGTTTATTTTAATTAAATAGTGAAACACAATTAAAGTTTGAGTTATGCCTTACTCAATACTTTTACTTAAAATAAATAGGCATTACATTTGGCACAGTTGTTAACATAGCATTGTTTAATTTCAAAAAAATGGACTATGATCATAAAATCTTTTACGCATTCACCCATATAATAGCACATGTTCAGTATTAGAAGATAGGTGGAAGTCTTCCATCAGAAAAAATATATTAGTTTGTGTTTACCTAAACTTGTAAATTACCTAGCTTAACAAAAAAATGATTAAATATAAAGATGATTATTCTGATGAAGAAAGTATTTAATATTCTTTAGTACTTTTCTTGTAAAAATTTTTTTATATAATTCGTAGAAATATATTAAATAATTTTTATTTTATTTTATAAAATAATAAATGAAATAATAATAATATTAATAATAATAATAATATATTCAATTATAACGCATAAGTTCGATTTTATTTCATATAGTGTATCACTTTCAATTAATAATCTCAGAATTTGACCGGCAATGTATATTATATATTAGAAATTATACACAAATAAAATCAAGAAAAAAAAACACAAGAAAGATCTGCTCGTTTCTTTTTTTTTTTTTAAAGATCTGCAATATTTTTTTTCCAAGTGCGATGTGTTCTGCTTAGTTTGCACTTTTCTCTCGAACGTTCCGCATTTAACGAGCATACGAGAAAATTTACGATTTCGCAGCTCTGTTCGATCCAAGAGAGTATGCAAGTTTGCTTAAACGTAATATCATAGAAACCGAATTGTTCTCGTATTGAGTTGAACGGCGCTCGCGATATCGAGCCCGTCTCGTGTATACGCGAACGCGAAAGTTTGCCCGGAACTCAATTCTGGTCGAATCACTTCGTTATTGGATTTTATAAAGCTGCGCGCGATGTATTTTCAAAAAGAGCAAAAACAGACGGGTGGTAATACCTCCAAACCGAAACAAGTCCATAAATTCCTTTTCATCGGT